CAGTGGTAGAATACACAAACAGATAAAGAAAGAAAAGAAAAATAGTTTAAAAGCAGAAGAAGAGAAAGGAGAGGAAGAAGGAGAGATAGTAGTCCAGTATAGAAAAGAAAATGCTAGGTATGATCTGAGACGACAGATAATAAGAAAAATAGATAAATCTTATGTATGATGTTTATCAACTCTTATAATAATATTATATTAACATTTTTAAATTTTTCGGGAAAATTTGTTATAATTTTAGATTGTGGATCTATAAAATATTTCGTTTCTTAACTACTGAGGACGATATGTTAACATATCGAAACGTTTAGTTAATTGTATTAGTCTATTAATATAATAAAATACGAAGAGAAAAGTTCAAACTTTTTTAACTTGATTATCAAATTCGTAAACATTTGTAGCATTAATTTATGTACTCTTCAATAGCACGCGTCTCTTGCTGTCACAGGAGCTATGACAGGCAGTTCGCACCGAAAGGTACTTAGTGTACTAGGACGGATTCCACTTTGCGTATCATAGTTACTGGAAGAATAATTCAGTTTGGTTTATTTGACATACATTGTCTTATTTTTTTTCAAAGCTGTGAACGAAATATATGATTTAAGTGATCTTTTAACACCATCGAACACCTGTACTATCCTCTACGTAGTGAAATCAATGGTAAATTGTCATTGCAATTCAGTGGTATTACAAGGTTCATTCATTCACACAACAACTCAGCTTTGGAACGATCTGCCCAATGACCTTCGCTCATTGACACGATTTCATACGTTTAAAAACAAACTAAAATTACCGCATGAACTAAAGTTTCGACTATCTGTAGCTGAGGATCGCATGGCCGACATTGATTGTTTTCGTTGCAGAGTTAATTTCAGTCAATTAAATTTTGACCTCGCTAAGCACCGTTTAGTTAAAGATTCTATGTGTACATGTGGGTTTCTCCACGAAACCGTTTCACACTTCTTTCTTACATATCTTCTTACATATCCTCTAGATCTATAATGCTAAATATCTTTAAGATAATTTTAAAAATCGATACCATCTAATTAAACCACATTCTCTTTAGGGATCAAATTTTTGTTCTATGAATAAACGGGATTTGTTCATATTATACAATAGTGTATTAGACTTCGTTAAAATAAAAAAAATAAAAGAATTCACTCTTTTTGATCAAGTTGTCATAACATGTAATGAGCATAGCTCGATTTGTTGATTTAGTAAACGTAGTTTAAACTAAGTATAAGTCATTGTGACTTTTTAACCGCAAAGCGTCGCTCTCTGGGTCGAACTGTTACTGAGTTATGGAATTTTTGAAAGAAATGGACACTTTTTTTTGATGATGAATTAGTTATAATTAAATCTGGAGATCGTCGTGCCATTTTTCACCTAACGAAGGAAGGTCTTCAACTGTCCCACCGCTTTTAGACGGAAACTTAGTGGACAATAGGTAATTGAGCATACTGATTCAGAATATCACAATGGTTTTGACATATGGGATATTGGCGACCGAGTTTTTGGGAAAACCAGTTTTTCAGAACCTCCAAAAAGTAATTAAAATTTTTCTTAATAAGGCAAGAAAAGCCCTAAATCTTCTTATTTCTGTAGCTTTGAACTGACAATGAACATTCAGGGCTTTTCTTCTAAATTCTATAACTTTACAAAGAAAAGTCATACAGAGCTGGAAGAGGTCTCATTTTAATTAGAAATTTGCGGGATACAATCGTACCTTATTAACAAAGGTTTTAGTTACTTTTCAGAGTTTCTGAAAAACTGATTTTCCCGAAAACTCGGTCGCCAATTTCCCATATGTCAAAACCATTGTGATATTCGGAATCAGCATGCTCTATTACCTATTGTCCACTGAGTTTCCGCCTAAAAGCGGTGGGACAGTTGGTGACCTTCCCTCATAAGAAAGCATTTCAAAATGTAGGATGGTCGCTCGGCCACTCTGCCTACCGTTCAGCCGTCTGTCGGTCGCGGATCATTCTGCCGCAGTGCAATTCTAATTTATTTTATTTTGTTTTATTTCGGTTTCTTTGATTGTATCGTATACATACATACATACATTGGCATATATCTATATACTTCCAATATGTTCGTTTTTTAATAGACATCATTATAAGAGTACGCTTATAAGTAACTTGTAAAGAAGATTTTTCTTCAACTCGTCTGCAAAAAAATTCCAGTCAAATCGGTTTCAACTCCATACGTGATAGACCATCTCTTACACATACAAAAAGAAAAATTTCTGAGCGAATATACTGTGTGTTTTCGTAGGAAAAGACACGAATATTCGCTTAGAAGTTAAGGATACGAAGCAAAGTGATGCATTTGCTTAAACGCGCTCAAGGTATGTATCCTTAGTTTTTACCAACATACCAAAGATATAACGAAGTTGAATGCATAAATATGTAAGAGTAGTTAGAATGCAATTCAATCTCGAAAGTGGATTGAGCATAGCTTAGCTTTTCAACTATTCTAACTCTCAGGACAATGTTTGTGTGTAGAAAAAACTTTAGAAACCTGGTGGAAACCTATACTTTGTGAAATAATGCATTTTTCACTATTTTCACCGAAAATTAAAAAATTCATAATTCACTCGAAATAGATCCAGACTGCTTCAAAATATCAAGATATACTCTATTTTATTTGCACTGCATCTTGATGTTTGCTAAAAATTTTAAAAATTAAATACTTTGGTTTTTGAAGGATTTTTTAGACATGTTTCCAAGTAAGGGAATGCTCTTCGCCAGTGTTAAGAACAGACCAGACTGAGACGATAAAATGAAGTAAATCTCGATATTTCGAAGTAGTCTGGATCTATTTCGAGTGAATTATGAATTTTTTAATTTTTGGTGCACAGTGTGCATTTTCCCATAGCCCAGGCGGATATTTGCTACAGAAGAAGTCCGAAAGTCGATACCTTTTTATAGGTTTTCAGATATGCTCTTGCTAATGGCGTGCTTTACAAAATTCCAAGAGACTTTCATCTGAGTTCTCCTGAGATCGGCTCTCTAGAAAACCCACACATAAGTACTCTGGAATTTCGTAAAGCACGCCATTGGCTTCGACTCTAGCGTTCCATTAGAACCAACAAGTTTTTGCTAAAAAACTAACCTACTAATCACACATCATTCGATGCAGTTCCTTGCGCTGATTCCGAGTATGTAATTTTTGTTGAATAAAAACGTTTCCAAACCGAGAAAAATGGAAAATACGTGAAAAACTCAGGTTTTTTGAAAAACCCACTGTCTGCTTCAGAAACATTTGCGCATTTTTGCGCATTCACCGTAGATGCAGGGCATATAGGAGAACATTCTGTGAAAGTTTGGTTAAGTTTGGACCTTCGCTAACTTTCGCGCGCTCACTTTACTAAACTTAGCCCTTCGGAAAATCGCTTGAGAAAATTTTTTTTTAATTTTCTCAGTTATCATAGGTCTAATTTAAAATTTTGTTTTTACTGATCTATAGCTGATGTATGCAGATTTAGAATATATGTCGTTTTCTATTACAGCTTCATTGACTGCCGTGAAAATTTCATTTTTTTCACTTATACTACTATTTCAGGTTATTTTCTGATTAGCTGTTTTCCCGCGATGCATAAATTTTGTAACAAAATTTGTTGTGTCATCAAATAGAGCATCACTTGAAGTATATTAATCATTATTTGAATCGTCGAAAAGTCGATTTTCATATTTTCACCTAATGCCCGCCTGGATGCACACTGTGTAATGAAAATAGTGAAAAAACGCATTATTTCACATAGTATATTCCCACTAGGTTTTTGAAGTTTCTGCTAAAAATAAACATTGTCGCGAGATCTAGATTAGCTGAAAGGCTATGCTGAATTCACTTCCGAGATTACCGGACATCTAGGTCGCCTGATAAGGATCCCTTCTCAGAAATTCTGTCAGGTCCGAACGATAACAGATGGCGGTCGCGGCCCTGTGTAGACATGGAACACAGATGTCAGTATATCTTCTGCATATTTTGAAACTATAGATTGCTATGGAAACCTAGGAAACGGTAGCGTTGTCTACGGAAGATCCACCAGGTACACCATCTGCAGATAGGATTTTGTACCTGTTTTTTTTAGTGTACGTCAGTCTACTGTCTGCCACCAAATCTTTCAAGCAAAAGTTCTGGGAACTATAAACCATACGATTGTCGAAAATTTTTTCATTCCAAATAGCAGCATTCAGTCATGTATAATGTGTATAATAAAAAGTGTGTTATATGAGTACGCGGCAGAATATGTTACTAATCTTACAGTCGTTTGTGTATTAGCTGTGTTTACTTTTCTAATTGCTTGTTTCAACTCGTCCTATTGTGTCCTCATGACTGTTTGTCAAATAAACTAACTAATTAACTATAAAGCAAAAATCAAATAAGTTCGTTTAAGCATTTGTCTTGTTTAAGCATTCCCAATGCCGACAACAATTGGGAAAAGAAATGGATCAAGTTGTATATCAACATGATTTACTACAACAACTGCTTGTTGTACCAACACCAGTATCGTCCACAGAAAACGATGATAAACACATAGCTGCTATCATGAAAAAAATCGACGAATGGGAACTAAGGAATATACAGCAAATAACAACAGTAGCTGGGCGTATTCGACAACAACTACAGAAACGAATAAATGAAATAAACAAAGTAAACAAAGTTAAACATCATTTTAGTTTAATAACCAATGAATTAAGACAAAGTCGATCGGAAGCTGATTATGTTGAAGCAGATTTACAACGATGGCTGGAAAAATTACAACAACTGAAACATCAACTAGAAACAACAACCATCTCTGGTACCAGTCAAATAGATGTTCAGATAACTGATGACATTGATTGGTCATCAATGGTTAAACTAGTCGAATCTAGAGAAGCCAAACCTACAGAAGCCAAATCTACAGAAGCCACATCTATAGAAGCCAAATCTGCGAAACTCAATTTTGATTTAATTACAACAACAGAACCACAAGAGGTGCTCGATGTTCCTATTGCTGAAAATTATATTAGAATTGGTGCATCAAATAAATCATTTCTACTTTATGATAATGCTTTAGAGGAATTGCATTTATATGATCAAAATGGTTATAAGCTTATTGAACAGTTTACTGTTATGAGTAAGATTTGGGAGATTATTTGGTCATCGTATTTGGATAGATATTTATTACAAGGGGATGCTGCATTTTATACATATAGTGAACAAAATCATCAATTTGAACATCTTCAACAAATTAAACCCAGTTTGGGAAAAAGAAGGTATGGTGGGTGTACTTGTTTCGAAGAAATTTTACTTATTTATTATAAAGGTTGGGGCTGTCGAATAGAAGAATGGAATATGAAAGATTTCAAAATAAGAAAACACTGGTTGACTGAAGTTGGATTTTGTATTAATCAAATGCTATTTTCCATTCAAAATCCAAATCATATTGGAGTTACTGTTTGTGATCGACAAAACATTCATCGGTTTGAATTACGTGATAGAGATATGAAAATACTGAAACTTGTTGACATAGATCAAAGTAAAGATATGATATTTTTCATACCAATATCGACAACAGGTGATTGGTTGATTTCTTATAAGGATTCAAATATTTTGAGTCTAATTAATCATGATTGTACATCGAAAAAGATTATTGAATATAGTGAGAATGTTGATCAAGCCGTATTTGTTGCTGATTATAATTGTTTGGCTATTGCTACACAAAATAATCAATTACATTTTTATTATTTATAAAAGTGCACTGTCTTCCACGCTTCTAAAATATCCTTTGACGAACGAATCATGATGTTTATTCACTTCGTTCATTGACATTTTGAATAAAAAAGTATGAATTGAAAAACTAGACAAAAGTGTCCAGATTTGCTTTTATAAGATACCAAGAAAGTCGACCCATAATTTGTTTTGCGGTAGGCCATATAAGTTTGCGTTAATTTGGATTTCTTCCTGTCCAGTCGTGGCGGAATTGTGTTTTTTCGTTTTAGATTTGATTTTTCTCGATTATTTTAAAAAACGAACAGTCGACATTTCCACTACGTGTGCTACGGTGTGCGCTACAATACCTGAAAATATCGTTCAGCTTGGTTCCACAGCTTTGATTTTATTAAAGAAATAGGGATCGTGGCAGAATCATGAAAAATCGGCAAGCTCTTTTAACTGTGTCCAAAGATGTGAAAAGTCTGCAAAACTGAATGACGTACGAGAAAATGTTTGCTAAGAAACTTGTAGCAGATCTTGCGAGCAATTTAAGGGGGGTGTCCTCACGTAAAAGTGCCCTCTTATTTGGCCAGTTTGTAGAGAACACCTGCGGCGATGTGCCTATGCAATAAAACCTCGTTGGTCAAATATTGACAGAGTTATTAATTAATTAAGCTTAAAATTAACTGTAGTTTTTAGTTTGAGAAGCATCTTTAAAAACCTTTCTAGTTTTCGTCATTACATCTCGTCGTCGTTACATCTCTGGGAAACGAAGCCGGATCTCTGAAACAGAGGTCAATTTATTTATGCCAGCAGACTGATCTGGCTTTAGCGGTTCAGGTGTAGTATCACATTTCTTTCGAACCCCAGGACATGTCTTCGGTGACGTAGGGTGACATTGAAATCGCATGAAACATACGTAGTCAGCAACGCTGAATCTGATGGCAATGCTGGTTTTTTGGAAAAGAATTCTAAAACATGGACTTATGTTGCGAGTTTCAGAGGTCCGGCTCGGTTTTCAAGAGATGTCCTGGAAAACCGGTCTTCAAAACAATTTGGAAAACTGGTCTATTACAGATGAAAGCCGCAACTCTCCAGCTATTGTTAGGCAAAAGTTATTTAAAGAATGGCTTTTGTGGGCATCCAGTAATAAACCGCTTAGGAATCAAATATTTCACCCAAAATGATTTAAAATGGATTTTTCAGACAAAAAAGGCAAAACTTCAAAAGTTCTATCGAATGATATGTCGCATGATTTGCTTCCATTTATTCTGACATTGGGAAAATTTACTCTGTCCACTGGAGTGCCACTAATTGCTGCTAACTAGGACTAATTAGTAATTAAACAACGCTCAGAGATATCATTTTTAAACGTTTTTGCATGGAATTATACCTACAAACAACTCTCTATAGAACTACATTACGATCAATTGGATGTAACATTTACATCGAAAACTAGAAAGGTTTTAAAAGACGCTTCTCAAACTAAAAGCCACAATTAATTTTGAGCTTAATTAATTAATAACTCTGTCAATACTTGACCAACGAGGTTTTTATTGCATAGGCACATCGCCGCAGGTGTTTTCTACAAATTGGCCAAATTTGAGGGCATGTTTAGGTGAAGACACCCGCGTTAAAGAAAGAAGGAAAATTTAACAAAAGTTCGAGTCTGAATGGTCAGAGAGAAAGGAATGCCGTGATGGAATCACGTTTCCTGTAATGACATATTTTTTTCAATTTTTTACTTGTTCCGGAAGTGAGAAATATCTCAATCAAAACATGTAATGAGTATTGCAACATAATGAGTATTTCCCTAAAAGAACGGTGAAAACATGGCTTTCAGCCTGCCATTTTTCAATTCTTTCACACAATTAGCCACAGTTCCCGCAATAGGTGTGTACCATGAGAAAGTTTTTGAAAGAAAAGTTATGATGTACCGAGCCGATTTCAATAAAATTCAACGTTTAAAGGTAAGCTAATTACGATCTCGACATTTTCGAAATAGGTCTAAGCAGATTTTTTGAAAAACCGTGCTTTTTCACTTCATGAACTTGAATAAATAAGTTAATTCTCTGGTAAAAACTAGAATCGTTAAACATATTTCAAAACGGCCACTGTCTTTAGAATTGTTCAGACCGCATCTGAAAAAACATTCAGATCTTCGACTCGTATTTTGAATTTTTGAATTAAGATTAAAAAGGACGGGGGACGATAAAACGCAAAAAT